AAGGGACCTCGAGAGGTCATCGAGTCCAGCCCCCCGCCCTCAAGGCAGGACCAAGCTCCGTCTACACCATCCCTGACAGATGTCTATCTAACCTGTTCTTAAATATCTCCAGAGAGGGAGATTCCACCACCTCCCTTGGCAATTTATTCCAATATTTGACCACCCTGACAGTTAGGAATTTTTTCCTAATGTCCAATCTAAACCTCCCCTGCTGCACTTTAAGCCCATTACTCCATGTCCTGTCCTCAGAAACCAAGAGGAACAAATTTTCACCTTCCTCCTTGTGACACCCTTTTAGATATTTGAAAACCACTATCATGTCCCCCCTTAATCTTCTTTTTTCCAAACTAAACAAGCCCAGTTCATGAAGCCTGGCTTCATAGGCTTCTCTAGACCTTTAATCATTCTTGTCACTCTTCTCTGTACCCTTTCCAATTTCTCCACATCTTTCTTGAAATGTGGCGCCCAGAACTGGACACAGTACTCCAGCTGAGGCCTAACTAGTGCAGAATAGAGCGGCAGAATGACTTCACGAGTTTTGCTTACAACACACCTGTTGATACAACCTAAAATCATATTTGCTTTTTTTGCAACAGCATCACACTGTTGACTCATATTCAACTTGTGGTCCACTATGACCCCTAGATCCCTTTCCGCCATGCTCCTTCCTAGACAGTCGCTTCCCATCTTGTATGTATGGAACTGATTGTTCCTTCCTAAGTGGAGCACTTTGCATTTCTCTCTATTAAACCTCATCCTGTTTACCTCCGACCATTTCTCTAACTTGCTAAGGTCATTTTGAATTATGTCCCTATCCTCCAAAGAAGTCGCAACCCCACCCAGTTTGGTATCATCTGCAAACTTAATAAGAGTACTCTCTATCCCAATATCTACATCATTGATGAAGATATTGAACAGTACGGGTCCCATATTATAACAGGTTTGCCACGTAGTCATCATAACACTGCAGCCCTACTTCCAACTCCGGCAGCCATCAACTCTCTAGCCCAGTGGTTCCCAAACTTTTCGGTATCACGCCCCCTTCTTGATTTCTGAAAAGCCCTCACACTCCACACACCCTGAAAAAAACCCAATAGCAGCAAAACTTGTTGAGCAAAAAAAAGGAACTGACGGAGGCAGCAAAACCTGATGGGGGGAAAAGAGGCTGAGTCGCCTCACGCCCCCCCTGGAATTTCTTCACGCCCTCTCCTCCTCCCCACAGTTTGGGAATCCATGATTGCAAAGTAGTATCATTTGTGGCAGGGCAGATTCTGCCAACCTTGAGAACAGCCACAGTTTCTCTTTGCCAAGAAACCCATTCCGGCCACCATTTATTACTGGTGTTGGGTAGCAGCACAAGTCTTTAAGAAAAACAGCTTGTTATTCAAACATTGCAGGTATAGGTATGTGTGTGGGGGGGGGGAGGGGGATGATGTCTTTTTACCTTATCTGTAACTGATGGCATGTTACACTACATTGGCACTTAGGGTCAGCCATAAATATAAGGCTGCTTAGGTGGAAGTTCTGATTTAATGGCTCCTTTTATTCTTTGGGACTGGCAAGGGGCTGTTTTAATATTCTTTCTTCCATAACATTTAATATCTATCTATCGATATGATACTGGTGGGTGCCACAGTGGACATGCACACAGGACCTCAATCATGGTGCATGAAACAAAACTCACCCTGCTCATGGATGGAAAAATCTTAGAGGGAACACTGAGTCTCACCCCATTGGAATGAAATAGCACAGACGCTAAAACCCCACCTTTTACTGTCCCTGCTCTGCCCATTTTAGGATCTGTGGCATTCTGGCCCAGAAGGGAGAAAATATACAAACCCTAATGGCTTTTCAGCAGGGCCAGCTGAGTAGTGTGAGAATATCTGGGGATGAGACAATCCAGCCCCAAGGGGGGAAATCAGATTCACCCACAGTCTGCCCATTGATTGCCCCTGCTACAAAGTCACCCAGCCTTGGTCTCCCTCACAGACAGCCCAATTAAACACGATGGAGTTACTGAATATCTTGTTCATCATCTAAAACAAGATGATTTACCAGTCCCGAAGGATCAGACACATCCACCCACCAAGTTAAAGAATAATTCAGCTCTTACCCAAATACACTCTTACAGCACATTCTTATTAACTCAACTAAGGTTTATTGCAGAGAGAAAAGAGTATTGGCTACAAGATCATTGTACACAGAGACAGGAACAGAGTCCGTAGGGTCAGCTGCACTGTGCCGATGTTGCTGTCGAATTACCAGGAGCTCTTTTCAGAATCGTCTCCTCAGGTGACTGTTCAGTGTCCAATATCCGGGACAATATCCAATAAAGAAAACACAGTGTCTTGCCATTTCAACCAGAAAGGACATTGTCTCAATGACTTAACGACCTGCATCCTGCTTCAAAGACCTTTTAAATCTGCACTTGAAAGGGAATCCTCTGAACTGGCATTCATGCTAAAATTCGACACTTTACGCGTGGGTCTCAACAAACACTCTAGTTATCTTACCCATTACAAAGATAGCTTCCCCAATTATCACCTCTAATATCATTAGCTCACAGACATTTACCTCCCCCCCCCACATCCCCCTTCTGTTCCGAAATTTGATTTGTCCTTTTCATATGTGTTCATTTTTTTAAATTGTATCCTTTGGTATATATGGTTGTGACTATTTTCTTCCACTATTTGATCTGAGGAAGTGGGTCTGGCCCATGAAAGCTCATCATCTAATAAACCATCTTGTGAGTCTTTAAAGTGCTACATAGTCCTGTATTTTGCAATATCCGGGTGTGATGCAGTGGGCTGTTTGGGCTGGGGGTGACCCCTACTGGCCGGTATCTGTAGCACTGGCCAGCAGGACGGCTGCCTAAGGTCACGTAGGCAAAGACCCAACCTGTCCGACTGGTTGAGGAAGGGACGGTACAAAGGAAGGGAGGTTTCAGGGGAAGGGGCAGCTGCTGACCGAGAAACATGAAGAAAACAGCCTAAACTGAGGGATGAGAGTCAGGGGGAGGGGGCAATGGACCCCCTAACCCAAGGGGTCTGAGACATCCTGACCTGACTCCTGAAACCACATCACGTCTATGCTGTGCTCTATCCCGGAGAAGCAATAAACCCTTGGGCTGTGTCTAGACTGGCCAGTTTTTCCGGAAAAGCAGCCGCTTTTCCGGAAAAACTTGCCAGCTGTCTACACTGGCTGCTTGAATTTCCGCAAAAGCAGTGACTTTCTACTGTAAGAAATCAGTGCTTCTTGCGGAAATACTATGCTGCGCCCGTTCAGGCAAAAGTCCTTTTGCGCAAAACTTTTGCACAAAACGGCCAGTGTAGACAGCTCAGATTTGTTTTCCACAAAAAAACCCCGATCGCGAAAATGGCGATTGGGGCTTTTTTGCG